TGATGTTTAATTGAAACTCTGATGATGGTCAAGAGGAGGGAAGCAAAGGTAATTTTTAAGATCAACTAGCTGTAGATGGTACCTAAGCAGTAAATATTTTATTAGTTTACAAACTATTTAGATATTTAACGATATTGAAAGATGGAATTATTAGAATTTGTATTAATTAAGCACAAAAATCTAAAGAAAAAAATTATGTGATCTTCATCATTAAGGGTAGTTTCTAATATAAAATTGGATTTAATTGATACATTAGATGGTCTTTAGATGACAAGCAAAAAAAAAATTGTGTATGAACACTAGAACAGAAATATTTACTCAACACTAATTTTTGACAAAAATGATTTTATTATTTAGTAATAATACTAGTAACAAGTAACCGAAGATACATGACATTTGTATGATATATTATTTTATAAAAACATGTCTTGGACACTATACAATTTTCAAATATTGGCTTGGTGTGGCGCGGCTGCTGCAATCAGTCACGCAACGTGATTGAGAGTACCTACGCAACTGTCCACTGCCACTAGTTCCCGGATGGGTGATCAGTGATCACCCATAGAACCCGGGTTCTTAGTGGCAAAAACCTTGCCACACATACAAGAGTTTCCAACAACCATGCCAATCCTACCTTAACTCCTTACAATTCCTAATAGCACCCAATGGCCTATTTTGACTCTATATAACTAATGAAAGAAAATTTTTAAATTTTGGCTCGTACTGAGTAATTTCTAGATATTATACATTTTCTATTTTAGCAGAAGTTGAAAAATTGTAATTTGTATTAATTGTTATAATATATGATTGCATGATGTATTCCAATTTCCCATATTCGTAAAATCAACTGCACTTCTGGTACCTCAAACTATTTCCAATACTGCCAAAAACGTCATAATATAATGTTAACGAAGTAGGTATATAAAATATATCGTTATTGTTATAAATATTTACAAATCTAAAATATTCAATCTTCAGACAGATAAGTACACCGATCGTTATGCAGAACATGAATGTTGAGTGGAGAATTACTGTTGATTACTTTTTTTAAATATTATAATATAGTTCATCCTAAAATTAGTAAAAAGACACTTCAGACACTAAATTTCAAAAGAATGGCAAAGTATTTTGACGCTAAGTTCCAAAATGACTTTCTTTTTTTTTAGAGTGCCATTACATTATTAAATATTAAAAGAGATGCATAAAAACTGAGATTCATATTATGAGTATGCCCATATCGTTCAATAACAATTGTTTGATTTTATCATATTTATTATTAAAAATAAAAATAAAAATATACATAATATGATAAATATTTTAATTTTCCACTTGCCTCCTTGGACATGCGTGCTATGAATTTGCCATCCTTGCTAAATATATAAGTAGGTATATCAATATTTTTCATCTCTATAATATGATAAGTATATTATATATTTATTAATTACTTAAAATTGTATAATTCACATTCTTATGTACCGTTTTATATTATAAATATGCACTACGACATTTCTTTAAAAATTGAAATACCTAATTCCTGTGTAAATTGTTTGTAAAAAGTCATATAACATTACAACCTACCATATGAATACTAACAATTAATAAATTATGTATATCAAACCATATAACATATACTAATTATTAAACGTTGATAGAAATAGAAGGTATCTATGTGATTATGTTATATACCTAATATAGTAATATACACGTCTTAATTTGTTTAAATGTCAACTGAATAATAGTTATAAATAATATGACAAGACTTAGAAAGTTTATGTACCCATGAGTTTATAATCTATATAATCACTAAATAAGTGCTGAATAACTATTCATACATCACGCTGTTCCAAAAATTAAAAAAAAGCCCATTATATTTATTAAAAATTCAAAAATTATTTTTAATTAAATTTTTTTCTTTTAACTTTAACATATATATATACAGTATAAGCCCATGTTTTTAATAAAGATCAGAGAAAAATAATATACCTACCGTTGTGGGATTGTCTATATTTTATATTTATAATTTTAAGTTATTTACAAATGTTATGTTAGTATGGTGTGTATTTTTACTATACTTTGACATTTTGTATAAAGTATGTAAATGATTTCACAGTTAGCTTAACAAGTTTCCTAAATCTAGTATTCCTAGTACATTTAAGCTCTTAAATAAAAAAAAATATTTTCGATTGCTTTTGTTAAGTTGTTCTAAGTATTTAAAACACTGATTAAAATTTCAGTTTTATTTAATTACATTGTATTAAGTAATTTATGAAAAAAGTTATAATAATTATTTTTGAGTAAACTAAAAACGATAGAAATTGTGACGTTGAGGGTAGTGATTTTACGATCAACCGTGACGAATGATGGTAGAACTATACCTAAAAGCTAAAAGAAGTGTAAAATTAATAATATTTTTTAGTAACACCCGTACTGTTGGCGCAAGCTAGTGGTAAGACGTGCACAATTCTAAGCATACTTGCAAAAAGTCAACACGTAGCGGTAACGTCGCTGTTCTTATCACCAACATTATTATTTCATGTTGTCGCAGTCAGTCTATAAACGTCCAATACAGACGTCCTATAAACGAAGTCGATTTTTTTTCAACTAATTAAGAGTTATATTTTACAAGCCACATTGAACTCCGATTTTCAATACTTTTATCTCAAACTTTATAATATTATTATATCTTTAAAAATAAAACAATAATTTAAATCTTTTTTTAACAAATTATTTTTAACATTATTTGAAATAAAATTAAAAAATCAAACTTCAATATGGTCATATAGGAAATTTTCTTCTTTCAAAATCTGACAATTATTAAAGGACTAAGAGTTTTTTTTTTTGTACAATTGGAATATTCGAATTACACTTATTACCTAAAATTAAATGGTCTAATTACACTTGGGTTTAAAAAAGATAATGGTCGAACTCCACGCGGGTAAAAAGCAAGTATCTAGTGGTCGAACTGCACTCTCTCAAAAAAGGAGTTAACATTTTTAAAATCTTAAACAGATGATTTTATGTCAACTATCACAGAATCTCTTATCCCAAGAATTTTATGTCTATTTAGTTGATAATTCAATTTCTAACGATGAAATTTTTTTTTTTATTATTAATTGATGTTGTAACACAATTACAAATAGATTCTTATATATTAATTCAGAATACTGATAACTGACACAAGACCTTCAACTATACACGGTACCAGAAAAAAAATGATATTGAAAAGTATATTAACTTATATGCTTAAAAGCGTATTACCAGGTTAGAATTTTTGAATGCAGTTTGTTATTACTACAAAAAAATGATAAAAATTAAAAAAAATTATAATTCATAAAAAAAGAATAAAAAAATTAGAAGTATTTTATTTACTATTTATATATTATTTCTACAAAAATTATCGAAATTACTTTTAAAAAAAAGTTACAATAATGACAATATTAATATTTGATGATTTAATATATGTATATTATATTATATTAACATAATGGACAGTGGTACGTATAAAACAATCATTTTTAACCATGCCATGCCAATAATTAAAATCATTGTCAGTCCTAAGCCTGTAAGTTTGAAGGGAAATGAGTGTTTTCTAAACGTTTAACCCCTTCAAATGCAAGATACTTTTGTTAGAATACCTCTTTTGAGCCCAAGTGTAGTTCGGCAACTACCTGTTTTTTACCCGAATTTAGTTTCTACCATTACCTATTTTAATACACCGTTCAACCCCTCTTAAATATTAATCTAGATAAAAATGTCCGAAGTAAAATTGTCCAAAATAAACTAAGGCAAACTCCATTGCTAAGTTGTTTAGAACTAAACAAATGATAAATATACAAATTAAATAGATTATTATAATAATAACAGATAACTAAAAACTAAAAATATATTAACAACATTGATAATATTTAAAAAAAATAAGCAACTAATAATTTTTATTTCAAGTCACATAATAATAATCATTACAAATTGTCTTTAAACATATAAGTACTAGTAACTAGTATGTTACCTTACTATACTTGATTAGAACCATAACACTAAGTCAATTACTTATTAGGTACCTATAAATATCTACGAAGTAGGTAGGTGCTAGTTACAAGGTACTGCAGTAGTACAATCTACGGGTAGGTATTCGTAGACTCAGAGACTACAGACTACATTAGACACTAGACAATATACAAGGTGTTTTACAGTGTTTATAGAGGATGACTTAATATCATTGGGTGTTCCTATTTTATATTATTTCGGTACTCTAATTTTTATCGACAATTTTACCAAGGATATTCTTGGTTTCGGAAATTTTCACTGCGGACATTCTTGTAGACAACCCCTAATAGGTATCGGGCAGTAGATTAGTGAAAAAGTATTATAAAAGTTGTAATAAATATAACATCCATGTCCCATTATTTTATCTTGAAGTTATGAAGTTCAAGTATAATTTTCATATATTATGAAATTGCGGAATAATTTAAAAATCGACACTATTAGGTTTAAATATTAGGTTTATTAGAGCTAGGATTTTGGTGATTTTTGCATTTTTTTCTTTAAGTGCTATTCAGTTCTAACCAACAACTAAATTTGTTTCGTGGTATAACAATGTAGAATGTGTAATTTTTAGTTTGCATTTTTTGCATGTTTGCATTGTTTGTGTTGAATGCATTTTATTGCATTTTTAAGCTCATTTTTTACAAATATTACGTTAATTTTGTGTATTTAAACTACTTATTGTTTATTTTAAGTTTTTTTAATATGTGTTGAATAGGTAATCGCAATTATAATAATAGTACTTTTGTACTTATAGTAATAATTTATTATGTATGAACGTAAAACCACTCTCATCATTTTTCGGACAAGTGCTTATCACTCAACAATAATATTGTTGCAAAGTGGATATATATACATATATATCCACTTCGGATTATTGTTGGGGCATCGAGCAGATAAGAACATTGATAAGGTGGATAAAAACCACAGACGATATGAACACGATAAGAACACGTTAAAATGATAAAGTGTGCCACAATTTATGACGTTAACATCGATAACGTTTAAAAAATGTAAAATGTATATTAATGTCTTATTATTAATTATCTTTGAATGCAAATACTAAATATCTGATGAATTAATAATTGTAATATAAAATAACAATAATATTGTGTAGTGTGTACTCATAACAGTGTAATAGTTAAACAGAAACATCTTGCTGGTAACACTTGGATTGTCGCATCATCAAGTACAGTAAGTACTTAGTAGTCATCGTCTGCGAGTTGTACATATCTCAATCAAAGTGTACCACTGACGTCTGACACAATATTATATTGTCTATGACAGTATATACCCGGTTTGTCTTTCCTGTTTACTGGACCTGTTGAATTGTGAAACCTGATGGCGTTCAACGTGGACACTCCGTTTTCTGTGATGGCTGACTGGTCTTGGAATGAAGTGTGCAAGTACTCCCGTGAGGCGGCAGTGTTCTTGGACGATTATGCCGCAGAGTCTCTGCACTGGCACGGTGGATGTGTGCTTCTGTATCGAGCTGGTGCCAAAAGTGTCAAGGAGCTGTCATCGTTTGAGGTGAGATCGTGTTCCAAGAGATTTGCCTATGACATTTTATTTGAACTATTTTTTTTCATATGTGCAGAGTGGCAACCCAAAAGACCGCAGGTGCTTATTGATTATCGGAAAACCTGTCGACGAACTGGTAGTAGCGATTGTCCGAGATGTTTTGAATAACAGTAATTTTAGGTATTGTCGTTTTGTTGCTGGATGTGGGTTTGAATCATATAATGTTGAAGAGTTAGAAAATGAACTATGCAAAATTATTTCTGCCAAGTACGAGGTAGGATTATCCATTTGTGTATCTGAATTTTTATTTACTTATTTGCTAGTATGATTGTTAAGAATCTTCATAAGTAACATACTTATAAAATGTAATTAATATAATTGTTTATTTACTTTTGCTATTATTATGTAAATATGTTATAGGATGGTACAGTGGATGTAATGGATATACCAATATCATTGACTTGCTTGTCTCCTACATTATTTTTAGTGCCTCATCTTCAAGACATTCCTTTGTTGATAGAGGTATGTTATAATTAACGGTAGTGGTGCAAACATGCTTAGTTTGTGTGACTACAAAATTTGATTTACCCACCAGTATCATTAAGTCATGTAGCACCACTACTTATAACAATTGTGTTTTATTTTTTATAGATACTTAAATGAAATTCTGAAGAAATATTGTGTTAAAAAAATTAATATATTTATGTTGTAGAATAACTATGAAGTGTATGTTTCAAAAATTGCAGCAACTTTAAATAACATATTTAATCATTTAAATGTAAAACATGACCTTTATGCTGTTGGACCACTAAGTGAAGCTGTAACTTATCATTTTTCTAAAATTCAAAAAGTTTGTACTATCTATTATTACCTAATAAACTTATATATTCTTATTTTATTTTTAAATCTTGATTTTAGACTTTAAATACTGAGTCTAGCCGCTTAAATGTTATACTAATTGATCGAATAGTTGATATGTATGCCGTTACTGATTTTGCATCTAGCTGTCCATTAGACAAAATGAATATGTTACTGACTAGATTTCCCAAAACATGTTCTGATATAGCAGTCATAACTGAACCTTTGTTAGAAGATTTAAAGTAAGTTGAATACATTTTAAACATATTATACTTATGTCAGTTAGTTGTACTAATTGGATTGGATAGATAAATGTAATAACACAATCTGATATTACTTTTTCAATTTTAAAATATAATTCTATTTATGTATAAATTAAAGTGTTAGAAAGGGTTTAATTTATGCTGTATCTAGAGCACCAGGCGCCTGGATAAATATTTGGTACCGAACGCTTGATCACTTTTTGTAGAATCGGGCACCTCATTTGAATATATATTAGTTAATTTACTATATAAACTTAAATTGGTTTTTTTGGTTTAAGCCTAATTTATAAGTATTGGGCCTTTTAGTTGTATTATCTTATACAGTATGTACTAATCCATCCATACAAATTTATCTTTATATTAAATCATTTTAGTTCATTATCGGAGCATTGTTAAGTGTTTTAAAGTTAAATAATAATAAGAGGCATAAGACTGAAAGACTATTGAAGACACCTAGAGCTTTCAATAACTTAAGTAGGATAGAACGAGAAAATCTAATCATTAATTGGATAATAAACAATTCAAAACAAATAATAAATAAAAATTACTTATTCAGCAAAGAGAAAATTAAAAATATTGGTTTGAAGCTTTTTTGGCAATGACCCGTATTCCTCTGTAACGTTGAAGTAAAAAAAACAAAAATAAAATAGGTGCCTTAAATGCAAAAAACCATCTAATAAATGTTATAGTTATCTACATTAGTATCACATTGATAGTGTACAACAAAATCAGCAAACTAAGGATTGGTTTTGCTTTAATTATGTTTAATTCACTTAAATTAATATTACTTTATGTATTATGACTGTTGGCTTAAATTAATATTATCACAATCTATATTTTTCATTTTTTTTAGTTCATCAATTTTTCTATATTATTGTATAATATGTGAGAACTATTGACTATTTTAAACTAATAAACTACGAACTACCCAACAATGTACATATTTTCAAATTTAATTCTTCCGTTGTACTGTTTCGTAAAGTTTGAACCGAGACAGTGTGCACCGAGCACCCAGTTACCGAGTATTTATACGGGTCCCTGGTTTTCTACAGTTTGACCAAGGACTCACCCAGTGCTCTAGACACAGCTTTTAATTTAATTAAAGTAAAATATCTCTGTAATGAAATTTCAAGTTTTTTTAAAATATTTTTAACATAAATATAATTATTTATTTTTAAGATACGAGTCGATCAATGATCAGTTACAAGTACCGATGTGTTTGGCTCCAACCCTGAAACCTACACCTGTAGTCGAATGGTTATTAACAAAAACTGAAAAGAATGTTTTGGCTAGTATAAGAACTACATTAACTGAAAAATGTTCTGAGCCTATTAAAAAAACTATATCAAGAATTACACCTCAGCTCTTAGAAACTCTCTTAAATGATGAAAAGTTCAATAGTAAAGAATATATAGACTTAAAACAGGTAAATATAATTAAATAATAATATATCAACTGATTTATATAATGTAGAAATTGGTTATTTTGTGGTAGTTGAAAAGGTAGTAGTATTACACTATTCAAATGTTTAATGATATTAACCAAAATTTAAAATAAAAAACAAGGAATAACATTCAAAACATTCGTATGTTTACTACTTCTGTGTTATAAAACAACTTTTTAATGTTATGCCCTTTACAATTTTTGAATTAAAAATTTGTCCATTATATGTTACTCTAAAAGTTGTTTAAATCATTGAAAAAAATAAGTTCTCATTTTAGTAACAAATTTGTAAATGTTATTCATACCAAAATTGGTGAACTAATTATTTTACTAATTTAAAAATAATATAAAATTTTAGCAAGTGCTTTGTATTTGTGCTGCTTTAAAATCTCCAAATCTCCCAACAATTGAACTTGCTCAGAATATTGGCAAATTATTATTACAAAATATTTCAATGGAAAGTGACACCGACATATTAATACAAGTGAGATAATAATATCTGGTGAACTATTAACAATATAATATGTATGTTTCTAATATAATTGTTTTCATATTTATTTTTATCAAGGTTAGTCAATTATTTAAAACAAGGAAAGACAGAAAATTGACTGTAGAAATTCTATTATGTATTCTAATTCAATTATATTCAGTCGTTGATGAAGATCTTGTAATGTCTGGAGAACAGCAAATAGATTTAGAGAATATTGTTGGTGAAGCCTTTTTTGAGGACTTTGAATTTTTACCAGATTATTTAATTAATGATTTAATAGGTACACATAAAACAAATTTAAAAAATAATTCATTTATTTGTACATAATATTATAATTTTTTTTTTTATCTAGGAGTCAATTTTAGTACATTGCTGGCTTGTCAACAAGCTGCAGAAAAATTCTTTTTTATTTTAAAACAAATCAAGCAATCTAGACAGCATTTTATCCAATACAGGTAGGTTTTATATTAAAATGATTAACTATAATACCCACTGTTAATAATTTAATTACATTGATCAGTTGGCATTTTCTTAAATAAGATAAATAATTAATAACTTAACCAGTGAATAATCGATTATTTTTATAATATCAAAAACTTTGTTTTTTTCACAGTAATACTTTATACTGTGATGTAAGCCGAATTTTGTATTTGATTAATTTTTATTGGGAAATGTTTTGAACAGTAAATCAGTGTTCTATCAAGTTAATTTTATCCTAACATTAATCAATATATATAATCGATATTGACTTATTGTTTGTTTGACTGTTATCAAATTTATTTTCATCTCGTGCCATCCCACCCTGCCACCAACAAAAGTTCAAAAATTTGACTGGATTTTTATATAAGAATGGAGATTGCTAGTAATAAACTGAATTTTACTATTTATATTTCCATCTAAAAGTTGGCTCAAGTAATGTCAAACAATTATTTATTATGCCTTAATCATGGACTAAGATATCTTTAGTATGTGGCCTTAATCTATCTAAATTTATTTTATGGCTCTATCATCATGTATATAGCTATATATCAGATTCAATTTAATCTATTCTTTGATAATTTAACTAGGGAACTAGAAAAACTTACCAGTTTTTGACAGCCACCTGATGCAATATTATTTGGTATAGAGTATAAGTATTTAATGCTTGATATTATAAAATATCTTGTATTTTATACAAAATAAACAATCAACATTTCATACAGGTTATATTTAATAGAATATTGTAATTATAAATATACAGTTGTTATTAATGATGTTAGGTATCATATAATTTAAATGTATGATCAATACAAAAACCTAGTAAGAAAAGAAACAAATATTTATTAATTTTAAATCATGAACTTTTAATATACCTTTTAAAGTGTTACAAAATAATATTTTTGATATTCACAATAATGCCAATAATGTAATACAATTATTACTATAAAGAATTATTTAATGCTTCTTGTATTCTATCCTTATACTTTTCACTGAATGGATTGTTCTCTTGGTTCCGACATTTATCCAATTTTTTGCTAATACGTGATAGTTCTTTTGTATGATCATCTGCTGTTCTGACATGCAATATTCTTATTCTCCTTACAACTTCTATCAAATCTTTTAAATGTTCAGACCCTGTATCACCTAATAGTAAATCGGTTACATATGAATCCAAATTCTCTTTAATTTGACTAGCGGAATGTAATACAGCAGCTAGTGCCAGCTGAGATGGTGCAAATAATAAACATGCGTCTGTAAATAATAATTTGTCAATGAAACTATCAATGTGAGTGCGCATACGGTCTGGATCGGACATTCTTGTTCTAGTTTTTATATCCAAAAGGAATCCTTCGATTGCCTTGAATGGATGGTGCACTTTGAGGTTGTACTTAATCTGTTCCATAAGAAACAACTCATTGTTTAGTATCACTGTGGTTGCTCTTGATTGGTTGCCTTTAATGTTGGCAACAAATTGTGCGAGCGACACATTGAACTCATCAACTTTGCATGCCAAAAACAAACATGTGACCATTATTTCTTTGGGATGGTAATCCATGACTGAATTATACAGGTAAAATCGTTTCAGATAATTTAAAGCAGTTGCGAATACGTACTTTGGCATGGTTGGCTGAAACTTGTGACAAAAATCTCTTAATATGTACTCGTGACATTTCTGTATTATATGCTCTTCGTTGGCATCCAAAAAAAATGAGTTTCGGTCATCGGGACTCATGTGCGACCCGAATCTGGTGACAAACTTCTTGTTGGCGTCCTCTCGCAATGCATTCAAATCCAACTCGTCTTTAAATATCCAATTCGTTTTTTGCGTGCTCGTTGGAAACATTTTTTTCTCAACTCAATGTCTCAATGAGTGGATGCACAAAGAGCTATTAACTTTTATGGGTTACAGCTATGAAGAAGTTATTAAATTACATTTAATGTTTAGTTCATACCTACTTTTAATTTAAATTATTATTCGAATTCGGTTCAGTTATTGCTTACTACTAATTAATAATTATCACTATTTCGCGTGATTTGCAAGTTGTTTGTATACAACGTTTTTATATTATCTAAGACCGTGGATTACACACATCATACACGAAAATTCGGTTTACTGATAACCACGGCAATAGATAGCTGTTAACAACGTTCAACTCGATAAAAACGTTTTTATGGTTTATCCATTGACATATATTTATTATTCTCCATTTTTTCTTTCCCTATTAATAATTATACCCATTACCCAATCTGTACAGTGTACACAGTGGCACAATAAGAGTATGAGCTGATTGACGATAAGGAATTAAAAATTTTGATTGAAGAAGCCACACACTGATGACACTTTCGAAATTCTCCATAATATTGTTTGCTTTTTGTACATATTAGAAAACGACATTTTTGAATAATTATTTACATTTTTATGCATATTTTACAATTTTTCTTACATATTGCCTCTAGCTCCTATAACTTCCGAGTCCTAGTCATTACCTACATTAGAAAATCGAAATTAATATTCATACAAAAACAATATACCTAATAATATATTATAATGATTTCTCAGTTTAACTTAGTCGTAAAACAATTAAGTATTAAAAAAAATTAAATAATTATAATTTTTATCTAGGTTTTGTACTAATATTATGATCAATTTTTAAAAAATTCTTGAATTGTAAATTAATGGTTATTTATTCTTTGACATAAAGTAACCAGTCAGATGACTGTGGTCAAATAAATGACTAAATCTGTTTCATCACAAATTGCATATATTATTTGTTCAGTGGTCGCCATCAATAGTTGTTTTATGAACATTCCAGGTAGCCGGAGAAAAAAGTGGACTTATTTTTTAAACTTAAATTTGATACTGGCTCCTATTTTCGTCAAAATAATTTAAAAGATCTCCTTCAGGAAAAACAATTGTATTATAGAGAGCCATTTCTTCAAAAGCATGTTCAAGAAGAAGAAATGTAAGGCCGTCCACCATTCCAATACTTCACATAAATGGCATTTTAGTTGATTTTATTATACATGTTAATTGTTAATTAACCCTAAATCTTGGAATTCTCCGTAAGAACTTTGACGGAACTATATCAGTCATCAGATGTATGGGATATACTATACACTTGTTCAGTATTCTTATTATAACTGAAATATTACATTTTCTACTGTAATCCGTAGGTACCTAACCTATAAGCTTAATAAGGCATGAGTCTTTTTGTTTGGTTAAGATATAAGCATTTTTGCTTTTATGAAAACTGTTTTCAGACAAAAAAAAAACATTGTAAAACCATTGATTGAAAATACTAATTTAATCAATGGTAAAACTAATGTATGGCTCTGTTCAGAATATAAAATAAACTATAATAGAATATTATTCAAAATGATTAGGTATAGTATAGATAAGTGAAAATAAATATTAATTACTGTTTATTTTATTTTAAAGTTTCGTCTTGAGACAAACATTTTATTAATTTTTGCAATATTTATTATTTATATAATAATAATAATAATAATAATAATAGTTATGTATTGTATAACAATAGGTAAATTACAAAATGCAAATAAATTATAAGAAAAATTGAAGTACAATTTTTTGATATTAAATAACAAATATTAATTAATAATGTTAGAATAAAATATATTAAATATAAAAAAATATTTTTCTTAACAGAAGACTCTTTTTGAGAGAAAATCCATATGTTCCAGCAGTATACAGCTCATTTGTCAAACAGCTTATGGATGATGTATGTAGTCCAATGCGACCTAATCTGTCAGTTTTAAACACCAAATCTGATGGGATAACAGATTATATAAAACTTGGTTTCAAGTGAGTATTGTTGAATATTTTAATTTAATACTTGTATTTCATAAAATGTAATTATTATAAATTACAATAATTCATTGGTTTTATAATAAAATAGACTTAAAAATCTATGATTTTACTAAAGAAATCGGTTTACATTTTTTTTTTCCAGTAAAATCATTAATACCGTAAACAAGCATCCACTAGATTGTGACCATTTGATTGTGTTTGTCATTGGTGGCATAAGTGGACACGAAGTTAATTCAATCTGTGAAGCGACAAAAAATTGTGGCATTCGAGTAAGTATAGGATCTACCAGACTGTTATCACCATATGAAGCACTGCATTCATTATTTAAACAAGTTTAGTCGTAAATAAAAATTCACTATATTTATTTAATAACTTAACAAGAAAAAAAAAACATTAATAATTGGTAAAAGTGTTCATGGAATGAATAAATGAGCAATATTATTATCTTTTGTACAATCCCATTCATTATATTATATTGTCAATGATCCCAAGTACCAATAAAAGTCAGTTGTTTATACATGTTGTGCTTTAAATTTCAATCGGATGTTGAATTACTAAACGAATGTAATTTTTCAATGGATAAAGACAGCTGTTCTAGGCTAGCCATTAGGGAGTGCATGTTTTCTGTGCCTTTTGCAATGCCTTGTTCGCTGAGGGGATTTGATCCGTCTTGTCTCACACCAAGTTCAAAGTGTAACCATGCTAAATGTTCTTGTTGCTCACGAATAGCTGTCATTTGTTCCATACTGCAATCCTTACCTAAATGTTTACAAATTAATTGTATAAGTCGTTAGGTAATTATCACTGATTGTTATACAATAAAATTATGAATTATGCTAAGAATTATATATACTTGGTTTGAAGTTCATCATTCAAAATTGTTATTGTAATTGTTTTCTATTGATTTATATAATATGGTTTAATAATGTCAATTATTTGTATATTTTTATTTAAAGAATATTTGGTATATTGCATTTAATAGAAAATACTAAAAGCGATATTAGTACCTAGATATTAAAAATGTAACATATTTATATCATGTTTCAAATAAGTGGAATTATTTGTTTGACTTTACTTTTGGTAAAAGAACATAATTTTAAATCAATTTGTTTTAATTCAAATCAAACAGCTGGTATCTATATTATTATTTTGATAGTTGGACTTATTTACTGCTTACCAAATGCACGTAATTTTCCAGAGTGAAAATCTTCTAGTAGTTGTTGTAGGGCTTGCTCCATTTGTCTGACATCGGTCACATCTGACAAAAAACAATGATGTAGGCAACTTCTATCCATAGTTTGTTCAGAGAGTACTATGTGTTTTATATGGGACAGGATTCAACAACAAAAGCAACCAACACACAAAATATGTATAGATATATATATATAACAAAAAAAAAACAAAAAAAAAAATAAATAAGCTGAAATAATAAAATATACAACTTTTATAAATAGGTAGGTAAATGCTAAAATGATATTGTTTTAATAATACATGTTCAAGTTATCTATGGACTATTATGTATTAGTATACGAGGAAGAATTACTACAGGCGTGATGAACGAATAATAAAAAAAACGGTGTTAACTATAGTGCATGTGTAAATAGTTATAATGTAGCAACCCGTCTACATAAGCTAATTTAAGTTATTAATATGTATACACTATTGACATTTCTTATCATAAAATGAAATTTTTTTTAATAAGTATCATTTCCATAATCTAAAGTCACTTGACAAGATACCAAACAATATTATATTAAGTATAATTGTAAACAAATCTAAACTATAAAATCCCTGAACAATATATATGAAATATTTTTATTAATATAATGTTTTTATTTATGACTAATCATAAATTATAAAGAGTGACAATTATTATTACTTTAAAAATAATTTGTGGATTAAAAAATAACAACATTTGAACCTGATTTTATTTGATAAAAATTTTAATTAAAGTTACATAAAGAAAAAAATTCTCAATCTTGAAACAAAAATATTTATTGCAATTTTAAAGAATACTTTTTACAAACAATGCATTTGATTAAATTTGCAATGGAGCAACAGAAGTGTAGATGCAAAAATCAAAAATACTTCAAATTGAATTGTTTAAGATGTATTAATGTAGTTGTATAATAAAATTGGATTTGTAAAAACTGTTTATTTTTAGACAAATGTAAATGATTATCTTTTTAAAGTGAATGTTTATGACTCGACAAAAAAATTTTAAAAAAATTTTATTTTATGATGACTATTTATTCATTTAGGTGGTTAGTTAGATGCACTACAAGGGCAGAAGTGTTAGATCTTGAAAATAATAAGTGTGTCATTGTTGAGTTATAAATTATTATCAATAATACACTTGAGACCAAAACATTATTTTTTGTTTAGTTAGAATTTTAAAACTATAACTTATAATTTACTTCATAAAGATAATATATTTTTACATGCAATAAAGTGAAAATATATTAGATACCTGAAATAATACGTTTCTATTGATCACTGAAATTTATTTTTCACTAGTACTAAACAGGAATATTTTTAAAAATGTGTTATTTTTATTTTGTGAATAAGTTGAGAAATAATTATTAGGATACATCAGCTAAATATCACAAATAGAAATGACAGTGAGAATTTATATTAACGACTACAATACTTCAACTTGCCAAATAAAATAAAAAGATAAAACTACTTTTATTACAAATTTTTTTTAGTGTGATCAATTATTCTTTTGAGAAATTATGGCCTTTAAAAACTTTCCACGCCATAGAAATTGTACTTTGATTGATGAATGTTGTAGGTTAAAAGTTTTTTTTTGTTATATCAATTCATCCGAATTCCAAGTGTAATATAATGTTAGTTTATAAAAAGTCAATTTTTAAATAGTTCACTACTTCACTATAATGTGCTGTTAACTATTAATGATTTAATAGCAACAAGACTGAATATTTTCTAAATACATGCAATTTCTTTCTAATTGCACATAGCTTTATTAAAAATTAAAATACAATATGATGCGTTTTATTAATTGAAAATATTTTTTTCATCCATGTAGGACGTAGATACAAAGACGTATTGTAATTTGCATTTGTTAATTTTATTTCTTAAACAAGTACATAAAGTTGTTTGTTTGGTCAGTTTTACTACTACTTAGTATCTACCATCTACCTAGTCATGCATTCAAGCATAGTTAAAAAAAATTAACTTAATGATAATAGTGTTAAAATGTTTTAAGATTATCCGGAGGATCCAAAGTTTCAATTAATTAAGTACATTAGGTTTAATGAACAATTAAACACCAAATTACGGTATAATCTGTAAAGTGTATGTATTATGTGGAAAACTACTTATATAGGATTAAACAAATAATAATCAGTATAAGGTAATAGTAATAAATCTGAAATACCTACTCATGTAAACATAGTATTAAAAAAACATAATCGATTATGATAATTTTTACGATATTGAACCAACCTTTTTTGTTTTGCAATTTACTAAAATTTGGAGGTGGCGGTCGTGGTGGTTTGTAGTCATGAAGAGAACTGCGTCCTAATCTCTCGTTAACACACATTAGGCGAGTTGGACCCCCTATGTCTTCTACAATACAAATAAGTAAAAGATTAATATTGTTTAAATTTAAGTATTACTACAGGCATACTGGATGGTTGGGTTTGTAGTTTATCTTGATGTGTGGATGAAGTACTAGACAACTTGGCTGTAGATTTATGGCATTCGTTCTTTTGGCTTTCAATAGAAAGTGACTACATTTTAGGATAAATAAACAGTATTAATAAAAATTGAAAGTATTATAGCTTTAATTTCAAAGCACCTTTTCACTTACGTTACTAGTCTTTGTTCTGCTATCTGAATGGGAATGTGCTCTTGGGGGAGGCTTGGGTGTAATAGGAGGTGTAATTTGTGCTATGTCAGTTGGTCTGGGCTCTTCGTCAGAAGACACCAGTTGTTCCAGTTCGCACTCTTCTTTTTCTATAGACATGGTCTGGTTTCGCTGGAGTAGTTAAATTTAAATTTAAATGTGGACAAATTAATATTACAATTGGTCAGTTACAGTAGTTTTGAACTGTAAAATCTAATATAATAAGTCGATAAACAGCAAGAGTTCTGACAACAGTGCAATGATATTATTCCAAAACCTCCATCAAGGCAAACATATTGAAAATATGAAGACCTTGGACAGTGAATTTAATTACCCACTTGATAGTTAAATGTTTTTAAACTACTGACTATTGATACAGTTATTTAATAACTATCAATTATTGAAAGATCGTTACAGACAACTACAATCTAAACTCTACAGCAGAAAATATACAGGAGCAACTTACACTATCAAACTATCAAAATATGTAAATTGTCAAACAACAATATTACACTATGATTCAGAGTCCAGACACTCAGCGAATAGCAAACAATAACATTGCAATTGATAACAGGTCTTGAGTGTCTCCCAAAGTCCTAAATCCATTGAGATAGATAAGTATTCTTATCTATCCCAATGTCTGAATCACAGGATATTATATAGATGATATGAAAACTAAAAATTATAAATATTTATTCTGAATGGATGGGCATAAAAGATCTGAAAATATAATTTCTGAACCTTAATTATTCAGGCGAAACATTTTTTACTGGACATGTATTATGGAACCACTGTATTTTATTTTTTTAATTATAATTGCTTAGGTACCTAATAAGTGTACAAACAAACTTTAATAGTTTAATGCACCGTTGGAAGATTTACCAGAAGAAAATCTAGGTTGGGTTAAGAATTCCATTTAATTTTAATATCAATGAAATGAAATCAGGAAATTTAAAAATAAGCGCATAGGCGGAGATCCTTTGAAATATTGAGGGGGGCTCAAATAGTTGGTAGCAAACAAACCCACGGGGGCTTTGCCCCCACACCCCCAACGCTTTTTTTATATTTAATAACTCATTAAAATAATTAAAAATTCTCATTATTATACCTACTAATTAGAATACTCACAAAAAAGGAAAAATGAATAAAATACAATTGCCATTTTTAACTTAATTTTTAACCTATTGGCTATTACACTTTTTTTCAAATATATTTAAAATAGTGCCATTTAGTAACGATTTAGTTTTATCTTTTTCAATGCATATAATAGCCGGAATAGCTCACTATGATATCAGGCATCAGCCTAGTTATTATCGTTTCTCGTGAAATAACAACAGTAAGAAATACTAGTCCTTATTAATTATTAAATATAGTTTTTGGATCCAAACAAAAACAAATTTACATATAAATTTGATGTAAAATTATTATTTTTTACAGTTTAGATATTTATTTATTAATAATAATAATGAATTATGCCTAAAACATTCTATAATCTGTATAAAAGTATGTTTTTGTTTTTTAAATATTTAGGGGGGCTTTAACTTCAAATTATTCATTTTGGGGGAGGCTAAGTCCCCGCAAGCCGCCCCCCCCCCCGATCTCCGCCTATGAATAAGCGTAAAACTTATTAACTCGTCATCAGATGAAAACCTACGAATCAGATATCAAGAAAATACATATAATGATACATTTTGGATTTCCATCAAATGAGAACATCCAAAATTATCAAAACAAGCCATATCAGTTCTACTATCGTTGGCATCAACTTATTTATGCGAAACAGCATTTTCAACATTAGCGATAATTAAAAACAAATATCGCTCCAGATTAAATGTTGAAACCGATTTAAGAGTAGCAGTGTCAAATACCAAACCAAGCATAGAATCAGTCATTTCTACAATCCAAACTCAGGTCTCTCATTAAAATAATTCAGTAATTGTATTAGTTAATTAGTAATTTTATAATTTTAAAAATATTAAAATGCTAATTATTATTATAGGTAATAATTCCAGTACATTTTTTTATGTTTTGGAGTAATTAAATTAAAACAATTTAAAAATTGCCTAAAATTAACGATTTAATTTATATGAATAAAATGTTTGTAGACATTAAGACTATTAAGTAAATATATATTATACGCTTACGTGATTTTGATAGGATCCCCCCTTCCCTACCAGTCGTATTATCAAAATAAATATTATTATTATATTTTGTATTAATGTATAATACATATTATTTTGTGTACCAATTTGATTATAAATAAATCGGTCACTTTGGTCATTACAATTCGTGGTGGGGACTGGGAGTACGGTTGGGCTTGAGTAATACCCATGTATGTGGATAGGATTCGTCGGCTCGTCGCTAAACACCAAGGGGCAGGTTAGATAACGCACGACTAACAGAGGGTTAACTAGGACACTTTGAATAAAAAGCTCCTGAGTTGGTTTTCTATCTTAGTGTATGTTTATCAAGTTGAACTTTTAATTATTACAACTTGAAGCTACTAGAAGCATATAATATACGTGAAAGGCGATACCGACTTGTCGCCACTTATATGTGCTTCAAATTACCTGCAGACATAGGCCCATTTATAGTACGTGATCGTCGTGATCTAAGGATAATACAATAACTGTAACCTAGACTTCAAAGTATGATTGGATGTAAATTTTAAAAGTAACTAGTAGTATCAATAATTTATCAGAGAGTGTCGGCTCCGTCTTACGAGTGCGTATCCATTTCAGCAGATTTTATGTTTACATAGCAATGCAATTTCTAATATTAGAGTTATGATTATTATTTGAAACTAAATACTAATGAAGCTTAATGATAACTGCTTAAATAAAATTTGATATGTTTCATACTTGTAAGACACACTTGAACAATTAAAGACCACACATTCAGGCGAAACGTCTTCTTTAAAGCAACATCTTTTTATACATTTTTTAAGGCCGCAGGCAATACATTTGAAAAATAAAAAATAAAATTATAAAAAAAACGTAAATTAGGAACACACTAAGAAGATTGAAGTCTACATCTCTAAATACTTAAACCGAAAATGCTTTTCAAATTAATTAGTTTATTCAACATTGCATATTTTCAGAGTAAACAAAGGTTATAAAAGTTTAAAAAAAAATTATAAGAAATCAACTAGAGTTATGCTATAAAAAAAATGGTAAGGTATATAAGTAGACAAACTTATAAGGAATCTGGTATTAAATAAAAAACTTAGATGTAAAACGAAACATTTTTATGAATTTCTAACTTAAGATATTTTGCACATTTTCGTGATTTTTACGAATTTTGTCAGAATTCAAAATTCAAATGGTTATAAGAATTTCGTATGAAATAGGGAGTCTAAAACTCAGTGAACATTTTTTTTTATGTACAGCTATAATATGATGTAATATAAATATATAATATAACAATAACATATTATATTACCATATTTTCATATTCTTGAGATTTTTTGTGCCACTGAAAGAGTGTCTTGTGGCGATATAAACCTTTGTTTTTCAAATGAGAACCCCACTTTTTTTCTTTAAATTATTTAGCGGATAATTTTTTTGAGAATTTTGATGTAAGTATCGTAATCCTAGTTATTGGACAATTTGTACTAAGGATAATAGTCCATAATAGATCCTTATTATGGACTATATACTTAAACAGTTCTACACGTGGAATAAGAAAAATAACTAAATAAATCAAGAAGGATTTTACCTGTTATTTACCTAAGTGTTTGACTAAATAAATATAAAATGAGGTATTATTTTATATTATGTGTATAGACTATAGATAACAACGTATACCTGCATGTTTTTGTCAAAAGTTAATTCAACTTACTGTATACTACTATATTAGGTACTTTTATACTACATTAGCCAGTTATATAAAATAAAATAATTTAATGTTTGATAAATTACGGGGCTGTTTTAATTCGCGGTTGGTTCAACAAGGCTTCATAGTATATTGAATTCGTCCAAGTCACCCCATTCCTTAGAACTTTTCGATTTTTGTGGTGCAGGGGTAGAGTTAAAATATTATAATGTATAACCAAACATTTATATATACTAAAAATGAAAATTGTTGAATTTTAAGGGACATAAGAACTTCTGTGCACCTATATACATTATACTACACTGTTGTATGACTAGCATGTACAACACTATACCTATTTAATTGGATAAATATTTTAGTATTTTGCGACTTGGTCACTTGGATATGCTGTCGTCGTTTGTGCCACACTGCCACCATATTTTTTGCGTTGCGAATTCGGGAATAAAAAATATGCATCGGCCTCCCGAAATTTGATTTTGATGATGTTTCGTTGTTATTAAAATCGGGAAATCTGTCCCAGACCCTAAACGCGAAACGCCTATAAAAAAGAACACGGACAATATAAAAACAATAACGAACAGAATAGAATAATAAAAATAGAATCAATATAATTAATAATTATTTCTTATATCATTGACTACAAAATTATAATAATAATATTATATTAGCCATATTTAAGCTCGACAAGCTCGTAGAACGACGTCATATTGTGCCATACAACATCAAGATTTTCAAGAAAGAATTTGGAGTGTATCGGTACGTATCGGGTCAATTTTGAGCGTTCAAGATGTTACACGTGCAATATGCAAGCAATACGTACCGACCCGGACTCGGACTCCGATACGAGGTGGTACGTAATTATTTCGTATCGAATTTTTCTTCTTGAAAATCTTGCATGTCTCATGCTTATCGCTAGTTTTATAGTTCGTTGGCATTGGGGCTCGACGTTCGTTCCACGAAAAGTGTTATTTTTAAATTTGGTTTCTAATTTTAAATAGTATCCCAACAAAAACACTTCGGCCGAACTCTGTGTAAAAAATTGCCAAGTAAAAAAAAAATAGTCATTTATAAGACTTAAGCATTATAAAGATGTGATATCATTAATAAATGCGAAGTAAATTAAATTTAAAATACATTTTTCTATCTCAATAATTTATTTACTTTACGAGAACTTTACGATGAATGGAACAAATTATAAAATATCTATTTAACATATTTTGTAGTTATAATTACATGTTGAAATCTGGAGTAGCTGCTAAACTTTGTGAGAAGATACCGCTACTATTTACGTGGCATTGTTTATGTCATCGCCTTGAACTTTCAGTGCATGATGTCATAAAAGATGTGCAAGGTGTTTCTCGTTTTCAAAGTTTAATGGATAAACTTTACTCTTATTATCACCAAAGTCCTAAAAATTCTTGGGCCTTAGACGAAGCTTGTTTGGAGGTTGGAATTGAAATGAAAAAAATTGGTCATATTTTAAACGTGCGTTGGTCTGCCAGTAGTTTTCGTACGATTAAAGCCGTGTGGGAAAATTATCCAGGGATACATAAGCACGTGAGTCAAACTCTTGAAACTGGATTAAAAAAAAAATTAGAATCTTCTTCTTTCCTAGAGGAGCTTGGACTCTTTTATGATGTCCTTTTTTAACTCGGAATGCTGTCTTTTATACTTCAATCAAGGA